ATAAAGAGACTGCCTTGGCCCTTTGATAGGACAGAAAATTAGGTAGGCGGAGTAAACAGAATAGAATGCTGGGAAGAGGGCAATGAGGCAGAAGCCATGGAGGTTCTGGCCACCAGGTCAGACATGCTGAATCTTTTCCGGTAAGCTACCACCTCGTGGTGCTACAGATTATTAGAAATGGGTTAATATCAAGATATGAGAGTTAGTCAGTAACTAACTCTCTAGAGATAATGGGCCAGGCAGTGCTTAAATGAATACAATTTGTGTGTTGTTATTTCTGGGACTAAGCTAGCTGTGCGGGAGCTGGGCAGGATGAAAAGCAGGCCTGCCCGCAGCTCCTTACTACAACTTTACTTTGAGGTGTGTTTTTTGTATACATCAGAAGGATGGATTTTGTTTTCATATCCCATCTGTTAACCTGTGTCTTTTTATAGATAAGTCCATTTATATTAAAGGATATTAATGATGAGTGATCACTAGTTTCTGTTATTTTAGTTTTTGTTGTTGGTGATGTTATTGTGTGTGTCTTCCCCTTCTTTGGGATTTGCTGTTGTGAGATCATCTATTGTCTATGTTTTTATGTGTTTTGGTTTTCAAATTTTGAATTGTTTCTTTCACCTGTTCCATTGCATTTTCTTTGTTTTCATTAAGGGATTTTTTTTGATTTCTTTCAAATTTTTGTTTGTCTTTTCTTTCATTTCTTTGAGTGAATTTTTCATTTCCTTTTTGAGGGCCTCAAACATTCTCCTGAGATTTTTTAGGTCATTTTCTTCTGCTTCATTTGTTTTGGGTTGCTCAAGTCTTGCTGTTTTAGAGCTACTAGTTTTTTGATAGTTTTGTGTTGCTCTTTGTTGTGTTGTGTGTGTTCTTACCTTGTATACACATCTTTTTCTTTGATTGGTGTAGTTGGAGCTGTCTGTGTCTCTGTTGATCACTCTTCTAGGTATCAGTGAATCCAAGGTTCAGATGGTTGCTCTTCATAATGGAGTCCAGGCCATGGTTCCAGTCACTTCAAAGGTCACTTGGAATTTTCAGAGGTTTCTTGGTACTCCTGATGGTCACTCTGCAATCCTGGAGGTCATTCAGACTTGCTGCCACGAAGGTAGCTGGCTTGGGCCTCTCATATGGAGGTTGATGGCTCAGTCCTGATTTTGTGAAGGTGGTTGGCTTGGGCCTGCACCTGTGGAGGTTATTGGTAGGGCCTGCTCTGGAGGAGTTTGCTGGCTCGGGCCTGCTCTGGTGGAGGTCACTGACTCAGGCCTGGTCCTGCGGTAGGTCGCTGGCCTGGGCCTGGTCCCACAGAGGTCACTGACCTGGGCCACTCCCACAGAGGTAGCTCACCTCGCTGATGTGTTTTAATGATATGTTTCCTTCTGTGATTTAGTCTTGCTCTTGTTGCTAATTTTCTTTAGATTGAAGAACATATTATCTAAACTGTAAAGTGAGCTTGCTAGAAAAGTATTTCTTTTTGTGTTAGTTTTTATTTTGTCTTTGGAGATGTTGGTTCTGTTGTTGCAGACTAGATTATCTTGTTCTTTCAGAGTGACTGTTGCCCCACTGCTTTCAAGCACCCACCAATTCAGATGGGGCTAACTGGTGTGGGAGAATTGTCTGTATTCTGTCAATCATGTTTTAAATAAACGCTGATTGGCCAGGCAGGAGGTGTAGGCGGGGAAACCAGACAGGAAGTGGAAATGATGCAAGGAGAGCAGGAGAATTCTGGGGAGGAGGAAGTTGATTCTTCCCACTCCTGCCCAGATCACCGAAGCAGCAGAATGTGAGCTGCCCCACTGAAAAAGGTACTGAGCCACATGACTAAAATAGATCAGAAAAATGGGTTAATCAAGATATGAGCGTTAGCTAATAAGTAGCCTGACCTAATGGGCCAATCAGCTTTATAACTTACAGAGATCTGTGTGTGATTTTACTTTGGGACTAAATAGCTGGGGGGCCGGACGGAACAGAAACACAAACAAACAGGCCCCTCATGTTACAGCTAACTGTCTTAGCTGCTGTAGAGAGTCATGTTAGTTCTTGTTGGCTGTCAGTCCTAGAATTCCCATTGGAGAAACAAAGTCCCCGAATTTCTTGCTTCACTTCAGACATGATTCCCTTAGTTCTCTTAATTCGAGTCTAAGAGCTGCCTTGAAACCTACATGTGCTCTTTACCTGTGGCTGGGTCGTCACCTCCCTCATTCCTTCATGTGCCAGTCATACTGTTGTCTTTGGGTGTAATGCTTTATTAAAATGCCATGTTTTTGAAAATGAGTGTTTCTCCTCCCAGATACTGACTGGTTCCTACTCTTCACTTTCCAAGAGATTTTATTTGCTTGCTTGTGACGTGGCTGATGCATCCGACGTGAGCCTTTTGCACAGATAGCTTCTGATGTCACTTGCTTGGATTTTAGAAAGTTGGTTTTGTATAGCAGTCGAGATGATGGGGTTCGATGTGGTTGGCTCCGAATGCTGTGACCTCCCCTCAGGCTGTCTCTTATCACTCTGATGGTTCAGCAGCCTCCGCTCCTATTCCGCTCCCATTTTTTATAATGCCCCTGCAATCCGACCCGATTAAACGCTGGCCTTTCTGCAGGGCTAGGTTTAAGACCAATGTTTGAAGTTTGTTTTGATCCTAGTGGGTGGGAGTTTTGCTTGCTCTGCTTCCTGTGTCTCTTGGTAAATAGCCAGGCTTCAGCTTCGCTTTCTTTTGGTCTCTCGTAGATTCCAGTATCCTCTTAATTGCTCACTCTAGTATTCTCCCTTTTCTAAGAATGCACTTAGTTTTGAGTTTCTGTTCTTTTTGGAGGGAGGTTTATAGGCCTTTCATTTTAGTCTCTGTCCCCCATTATGGACAATTACTACTACTCTGAAGCTGTGGATCAATATGGAGCCCTTTTCCTTTTGGAGTGACACCCTCTTCCTTGTGCTGCCACTAAGACAGAGCCTTGAAGATGTGGCTGTAGTTCTTCCTCTCTTCCCTGGCAGAGAGACTTTGCCCTCTATGTGAACAGAAGAACATCTGGGCACATTTGCACAGTTTCAGAGTCTCTCCAAGGTGCTGAGGGGACCGCTGCCTCCCTGCTTTTTTCAGTATGAGCTGGAACTGACTGTCCGTGCTTTTGTTTGTTTTGTTTTTAGTTTCCCCCAACCCCCTCCCCATCTGTCTCTCCTTCTCCCCCTTAAAGCTCCACTGCCTCCCTCTCAGGTAGCTGCTGCTCCACCGAGCTGAGGATGGAGAAGAAGAAATCCACTGCTTGAGTGCCACACACTTTTTACAACCAAGATTCAGAGTTTTTCATACAGTTTTTATTGGCTGCAGACCTTTGGGACAGTTCTCTTAGGCTTCCAGTGATCACTTTAAAAAATGCTTTAAAATGCATTTCAGGGGCTGGAGGGATGGCTCAGTGTTTAGGAGCCCTGGCAGCACTGGCTGCTCTTCCAGAGAACCCACGTTCAATTCCCAGCTCCCACATTGCAGTTCACAACTGTAACTTCAGTTCTAGGAATCTAACACCCTCACACAGACATACATGCAGGCAAAACACCAGTGCACGCAAAGTAAAAATATATTATTTAAAATATGCGTTTCATACTTTTTACTTCCCATTTCATTGGGAAAAGTCTATGGCACTCTTTGCCCTCGATTTTGGATATCACACATTCTCTCTTAGTTTTTTTTCCTTTTCTTTACTCTTTCTTTATGGCCTGGCATGGAACTAACTCTAGCACTGCCTATGGGTAGTTGTCATGGAAATTTAATATTTTCCTTAAAAATTAGAGTAATCTTGTTTCTTTCCCATTGGACTCTTAACCTCTATGGTAGGAGTTGGCACTACTTCCCCCCACCTTTGGCTGTCTCACTTTTGCAGTTGTATCTAGGCTCCACATTTTGACCTGATGTTCTGGAAACATTATTGCGATCATAAACCATCTCCTTGGTTCATATTTCAGCTCTGTTTTCATCCCACTGGCTGTAAACCGGCTTCTGTAAAGTACCACGTAGACTGTTCTCTGGTGGTGTCCTCTTTAGAGCAGGCTCCTCTATGTGTTTATTCCCGCCGTGGGCTGGGACTGTTGCTTTACAAGTCTCTGAAGCAATGGCCTGTTGAAGTGAAGACACAAAGGGTTAGCTGACAGCCCAGTCCCCATGGATGCTTACTTTGAGGCTACTTTACTGAGGTAGCTGTCTGATAAGGACAGTCACGACCATGTTATAAGTGAAAACCTATTGAAAGTAAAGGGCAGAGGGTCAAGCATGAAGGCGCCATCTTTAGCGTGCAGTTTCGTCACAGCCCTTTCTAAGACAGAGCTCTCCTTGTGGAAATGGAAATGAAGGGATACATGCCATGCCTGAGGAAGTGCTGCCTGGACTTTGTGTTTGAAAAGAGCTGTTTGTGAAATGAATTAGAGCAAGACATTCATTGCTATTCAGGTTGTTTAGTCTCAAAGTCGCGATCCCGGGGAGTTTCTTTCTTTAATGATCCAATGTGTAAATTAAATTTTCTAAAAGCACACTCATTTCTAAGCATTAATTTGAAACTCATTTTAATGGTTTCACAATAGTCTCTCTATCCCTCCCCACTTCAGGGAAAACCCAATTGTCTTGTAACCTTCTTTATAGAGTTTGATTTCAGTGGCTTACGATGGAAAGGGTTTTTTTTTTGTTTCATTTATTTATGGGTGTGTGAAGCGTGTGAGGGTGCACGTGACATCGTGTGCATGGGAAGGTGAGAGGCCCGTCCATGGGAGTCTATTTTCTCCTTCCACCATGTGCATGCTAGGTTCAAACTCCGGCCACCTGGGTTGATACAAACACATGCATTTCCTTGCTTAGCCATGTTACCTGCCTGGTGGGGGAAAGTCGTTGAACATAAAATGAAAATGGTATTTCCATGTTGAAGTGCATGCCTGGCTTTGCCATCCTATGAAATTGGTTTTTAAATTTTAGCTGTTAGTTGTGAATTGAGCAAACGTTTGTTTAGGTGCTTTCCTTTCCCTTGTAGGCAGCAGGAGCAATTCGGCCTCTGGTGTCCACTGTCATCAGTCCCTCTGCTGACGGCTGCTTAGACCATTCACTGGACCGTGGCAAACACAGGGCAAGTGAAATGCCACAGGCTTTTCTCTTTGATGTGATCTACGAAGCATACCAACAGGTAAGGATCTGGGCTTTCCAAAAGCTACTGTTCTGTTGTGCTCTTTAAAACCGTGTCCACATTCAAGTTTCTAGAAAAACCTGCAAGACTCAGCATATTGTGCTCCAGGGCAGAGTGCACCACAGTGTAGCAATAAGAGTACTCTACTGGCATAGAACAGACATGCAGGCAGTTCAAGAATTCCTTTGGAAGCTGCTGAGGCTCCCTACTTCTTTTGATGGGTCACAGAAAACAATTTCTGAAGCAATGGAAATGCACAAACGTCTGTAATGCTTAGAAGTCCATTAGAGGTTCAAAGCCTGTGGCAGGGGTGTAGGGTGGTCACATAGATTTCCTAGCATGTACAGAAATTCCACATTTGCAGGAGGAATGCAGGTGTTTATTGTAAACAGGGCTGTGCATTCAGACAATTCCCACACCAGGGCCCCCAAACACTGGTCCACACCTGTCCTATAAACAGGCTTCTTGAAGGTAAATTTTCTGCACAGAGACCTAGACATCTTAATTAAATATTTAAGTACCTATAGAAACATCACCCCCACCAATTGATACTGGGGTATCTGTATTTTTCTTTCATTTGCAAGCCTTCTATACTTATATAATTTTATTGCTAATTTACATATGTGAATAAGTCATTACTGAGTGTCACAATCAATTCTCAGAAACTTCTCAGTAAAATAAGTGGAGTAATGCAGTACTCAACTGGCATTGGGGAATCTGTGGATGTGTTGAGAGAGATGGGCAGTTAAGGTTATAGGGTAACGGTAATAAAGACATTTGTATTAAATATGGTAGATATCGTTAGATTACAGAATTGAAATATATATATATATATATATATATATATATATATATATAAAATTCAATTAGCAATACTCGGCTCCAGTAAGTTTTAGAAGTTGATTATGTAGACTTTTATTTCAATGAGAAACTCAGCCCTTGTTCTTCTTAAAATAATTTGGAATACAGGACATTACTTTAAAAATTTTATTTTAATTACACTCATTATGCTATTATAAATTTCTCCAAGTTGAGTCCATATATCCCATTTTATAGACTGGATGTTGGGCAACACTCTGCCGTCAGCACATTTCTGCGATTTGTGAAAATGTCTATTGACTTTAACACATGCCGTTCTATATTGTTGTAAATATGAACTGTCTACCACAGGCTCGTATGTTCAATACTTGGCCCCAATCTGGTGGCTCTGTTTTAGGAGGTGGCAGAAACTTTATGATGGAGGCTGGAAGAGGTAGGCTGCTGGTTCATGCCTCAGACACAGAAGTTCTTTCCTGTTTGCCTTTATTTTACTTTTTGTTTCTTGAGACGGAATTACATAAACCATTCTGTCCTCAGACTATCTGTGCCAAGGCTGGCCTTGGGCTCCTGTGCTGGGTTATGAGCACGACCCATCGTGCCTGCCCTGGTCTGATTCTGTTTCTTTTTTCCTGCTTGCTGACCACCATGGTTTGAGTGACTCTTGTGTTTGTTGTTGGACTGAAACCTTTGAAATCATGAACATAATAACACAGAAACTTATAAATTACAAACTGTTTGGGCTATAGTTCAGACTTATTGCAAACTAGCTCTTACATCTAAATTAACCCATTTCTACTATTCTATGTATTGCTATGTGGCATAGCTTTTACTGGTCTGCTGACATCTTGTTTCTTGGGCGGATGCTTTCGTGTCTCTTGACTCCATTCCTCCTCATCCAAGTCCTCTATTTGATTGTTCGACCTAACCCTCTCCTGCCTGTCTATTGGTCAAAAAAGCTTTCATGATTAACCAGTGGGAACAAACACACTTATAGTGCATAGAAGCATCCCAAAGGCTATCATTCTGTGTTGAGGAGCAATCACAAAATTAAATTATTTCCTTTAAGTAGAAGCAGTATGGGAACCAAATTACCACTTGTTTCAGGAAGACAGTTTTGTTATACAACATCCTGTATACAGAAGCAAAATGGCTTCCTGAATGTCCAAAATTCTTTCAGCACCAGGTAGAAAGATGGTATTGACTAGAACTTGGATGATGGCCAATTAGACCACAGTTTGATAGAGACCTGGGCTCTGTACACTTTTGTTCCCTTTCTTTGCAATCATAGAACTTATGCTAACATTTGTAAGCCACAGTGCTTACTTACCAAGCCAGGGTTACCTGATTATGGTCTGTGAGAATGTCGTCATCAGGCCTGGGTTGAAGGGGTCACAGCAAGACTGAGGCTGAGACAAGTTTATTACAAGCAATCAGACTTTTTATACCTGTATCAGAAACAATACAATGGCAGTTGCCACGATCAAGACAATGGTAGTTACTAGGATACCATGATGTTTTCAGGCTGTACAGAGTACACAAGATTAATGTCTAAGACTAATTGTCCTGTCAGAGTTCTATATGCTTCACTGACTTCTAGGGGAGGCAGAGAAGCACGGGCAGCCTGAATGCTTCATTGCCCGAGGGAGTGCCTTGGCTTCTCAGGCACAGAAAGTCATACAGTGGCCCCAGAGACCCAGATTCTAACCTGAAAAACCTATGACACAAGCCTCCCAAGGGAGCTAGACCAGGCCACATGATTCCCTGCAGTTCCCCCTTTCAGTACATGCAAGTCAATCTCCAAAGCAGACATGGAGTAGCAAATCAATCTCAAGGCTGTAAAGTCCTCAGTATAACCAACAAAAACATTCTCAGAGGCTTTCCTATGGCCCCCTGTTTAGAAGTTCAATTAGAGGCACAAAAAGAATGACCAAAACCTTTGCTAGGTTTTGTGTAGCAATGGAGACGCATGATTCATTTAACTTTAAATGCTGAATATTTAATATTTCATCATTCAAGGCCTGAATATCTATACTTAAATAGTCATGTGACTGTATATTCCTGTAAGGTAATTAGGAATCTAACACCAGTTAAAAAGAGAATAATAAACATAAACAGGAATGTTATTCTCTTCCTAGTTAGCAAAGTAAAACACAGGACCAGGTCCATTATGCCAGGTCTGTCGTAGCAGTAACAAACACCACCAACAGAGACAACGTATCAAGGAACAGCTATTCTGCATCACACCTTCCCCCTGAGACTTCACCAGATCTTTTTCCTCAGTCGTTGTTGGTAGACTCTGTTCTTGGCTTGATGACTCCGCTGCCCTACTCAGTTTTGTTTCAGGCTAAGCATCTGTAGACACCCGTGAGCCTTTCCATTCATCTTCACAGATCGGGTCCTTCTTTCTGGTGTCCACATTGCTTTTCAGCACCCTGAGGAAACACACAAACAGAGCCCCAGCTCTAGTGAGTTGCTGGATTCTGGCCATTCCATTCACCCGATATGCCATCTCTCCAAAGGACCAAAACCTAAATTGTTATTTTTTTGTGTGTGTAGGAGGATCCAAACTCCTCATCTGCAGCAGTAAGGCCTAATTTATAATTTGGCTAAACCTTGGCCAAATTTAAAAAAAAGAATAGAAAATAGAAAATAAAATATAAAATAGAAAGGGTATCTATACTACCCCTTTCTACCTCCATTGTTTTAGGTAACATTTAAGTTGTTTCAATGGTTCTTTCCCCAAAAGATTGACTTTGAGGGTTATGCGGAACGCCTGTGATGTGGCTTACAGCTTACTGTTGGCAGAATTCCTGAGAAGGCTTGGCAGAGTATGCAGGAACACAGTCAGTTTTTAACGTTCCACAAGGGCCTAGAGTAGTAACAGCTCTTAGTAAAGAGGTGATAACACCCTTAACTGCTTCTCCTGCTAGAGGAATAGTAAAATTGATCAGTGAATAGCATCATGAGTACCATATATGTGCCCAATATAATTGGCAATAATCTGCAGGGAGTTAGGGCAGAAGAAGGAAGAGAGAGTCATGATAATAACTTTACACATGGAGTGCTGAAGCATCTTTTGATGAAAGCATACATGAGATTCTCATGCTTCCTTTAGATTGTTAGTTTCTAGGACAAGAGATAGGGACACAAGGTCATCTGCCTTGATATTTCCCTCAGACAAAGGTCCCAGAAGATTAGAATGCAAACTAATATGGCCAAAGTAAAGTGGATTTTCCCACATCTGCAATTCCTATTGAATTAATTATAATAAATCATGGATAAAGGTTCCTGATTAAGTGATCCATGCTGCTTCTAGACACTGCACTGCCAAGACCATGCGTTGGGAATCAGAATTTAAGTCTAGAGATTGAGGATGGCATCACAAGGTGATGTGAATCATGCACAGTTCCGTCTACTGTACAGAAACACTTGGACGAGTGGAAATGAGCGAAGTGTGTCTATAAACCAGGGCACCTTCCTGTCTTCTGTGGCTTCTGCTAATACTGCCGTGCAGACGGTATTCGCTGAAGCTGCGACTGGTAGGAAATAGGGTAGCATGTTTGGATGTCAATCAACAAGTTCGCTGGAAGGAAAATGAGTATCAACTTGAAAGGGATATATGGTCAAGCCAGTTCCAAAGTCATCCAAAGTATTCAACAAAAGTTCCAACTATTTTGTGTCATAAGGAATGCATCTAAAGGGTTAATCCAAGTTTTACTTCCACAAATGTCTTTTAGCATTTTATTATTTTTAGAAGAAAGCAGAATATTATTTATGTAATGTGTAGAAAAGCAAGAGGAAACAGCGCTCTCGCTCTCCTTGAAGCAGTAGCAACAAATATTGGGCACAGTTAAGGCATCATCTGCCCTGTGAGGACTGTAGACAGAGTTAACCCTTGAAGGCCCAGTGTCAGTGCAGAGGCTAGTGTGAGTCATTAGTATCTCCTTTCTTTCTCAAGGGACAGATGGCAGTCTGGAATGTAGCATTAACATTCTCATACACCAGTTGCTTGACAGAAATCACCCCTGCCTCTCCATCAACCATCAGACCACAGACCACCTGCAAGCGATGAGAAATGAAATCTTGATATGGTTCGTCAGGCTCCTGTCTAATTCTGTACAATTCCTGTCTTTCTGTCATGCTTGTAGTGCCAAAGCATGGGCTTGTCCGTAAGCCTCAGT